GATGTAATTACAACAAACATGTAGAGGAGAGTGACTAAAGACAGCAGCAGAGTGAGGAAAAGTGGTCAGTTTGTGCTCCAGAAGTCTAAGCCTATAGGATTTATCAAAAAGGAAAGTCTTAAAAGTAGATATTAAATAAAGGAGTAATTATTAGGGTAACACTTTAATGTTAAGAATGTAAGTTAACTGCTTTCAGCAGGCCTGTGTTTAGTCATCACTAAATTATTATTATGCAAAACGTGACTGACATAAAACTGAACGTCACACCAGGACAACTAACTGAGCTGATTATAAGGAGGGGATGCCTCTCCTAACTACGAATGTCATAAAGAAAGATGATAAAATGTAAGAGTTAAAAGCTGAATAAAACTGTAAATAACGTCATTTCTAATTATACAAGAACTAAATATTCCAAGCAAGAGTTAACATTTAAATTGTAGATTTTATTACACCAGATTGTTGATTTTTGTCTTCCCACCATATCTTTACCAGATGCCAGTGGTGGACAGTAATGGAGTACATTTACTTGAGTACTGTACTTAAGTACATTTTTTGAGTATCTTTACTTGAGTAATTATTTTTTGGAGAACTTATGAYTTTCACTCCRCTACATTTCAAASACAAATATKGTAATTTTGACTCTACTACATTTCTTAGAAGCTTGTTAGTTACGCGTTACTTTTGGCTCAGCACAGCTTTGTGATCCACTTTTGCTGTTTTCCTTTCTTGAAATGCATTYGGCCACACGYYATGTTCCTCACAATGGGAACCAATCACAGTCATAGCTCACACCTGGGATAGATTTAGAATTACATCATTCTCGTTAACGGTGACGAGCTGAGCTCCACCTTCATTTCAAACAGAACCCAGCAATGGAGAYGGYTGAAGAAACTCAAGCAGAGAAACCAGAGCAGCRTGGCCATATCTCAGCTCGATGTTTGAGATTTTAGGACTGACAAATAGTTTGTATGAGTTTAAATGTCTTWTGTTTTCACCGTGGATAAACTATATTTATGCATTTAAGAACTCGCCACTCACTTCATTGCATTTTTATGCTGAAGTCTTTACAGGTGGTGTAGAATTTGTGGCAAAGTGGTTCTACCTGTTAGTACATCAGGTGGTTTCTGAAATCACTCTGAAAACAATACAGAAATGTACTGATATTAGAAAATTTAATTTGTACTTTTGAATACTTGAGTATTTTATAATACATGTACTTTTTAAATTCTTAAGTATTTTCAAAAGTAAGTACCGCAATACTTTAACTAAAGAAAAATTTTGACCGAGCRACTTTTACTTGTAGTTGAGTAAGATTTGACCATGAGTATCAGTATTTACTCAAATAATAGAGTTGAGTACTTTGTCCACCACTGCTAGATGTGTAGCGTCTCACACACACCTGGATGTGTACACACGGAGCAAAAACAGCACAGACAGATACGGAAAGTTGTGGGAAGAACAGATAGTGTGAACATGTGTTCAAATACCTGGGGACACTTGTTCTCCTTTTTTTYCTCCTTTTATTATATCAATATAACTTGTGTATCTATGGCAACAGAGCTGAAGCAGTGAAGAGTTATCATTTTATAATAGCTCCGGTTTGTTTGTATCATAGTTGTTCTCACGGTTTTACTGTTGATGTGCCGCAAAGTTGTTAAACATTTTGCTCATTTAAAGGGAAACCTGAATTAAAATGTTCATTAAAAAAAGTTGAATAATTCAAATCATGTTTTATTTGTTACATATTTTAGTCATTTTTTAAACTTTGTTTCTTGACTGTAGACCATAAATACACTGACCAAGAATCAGCACACACAGTGTGTACAG